GCCGTGATTATGCGCTGGATAGCTTTGAGTCATCCCGTTCTCCTCGTATCGGTTGTTCATATATCCACGATTCGGTCTGGTTCGAAAACGATCGCTATTCGACGTATAGGAAGCCTGATCTGAAGAACTTTGTGCATTTACGCATGGATAACACATGGCTCCGGCATTGCAAATGGTTGAAAGCGGCACTTTTGGAATCAAGCATCCACCGGGGGTTGCATTTCGTTCAGTTGCTGACAAAATCGACGCTGTCGCATATGGTGTCGCCCCTGTTCCATCATCTGAACGTTCGGTTGAACGAAAATATAAGTTTTCACTATCACCATCTGCCCGATCGATCGATCCGTTTCGTGTATTCGGCCAAAATGGGGGAAAGCCAGTTGGTCTATATGGAACGGTCGACTGGGCACCACTACTCATTTGGAAAGGGGGTAGCATATCATGCGGATAAGCGCCCGGCGATGACTGCCAACCGTACTGAGACGGTGAAAGACTGTAGGATTGCGGTATTCCAACATGATTCAACGCATCCACTTGTTCCGGACTGGACATCCCATGTGTTGAAGTGACTAGCATGGGCTGGTGTAACGCATCATTTGACGAACGCCCACCGCTGGATGATATGGATTGTGTTCCGACTCCCGTGTGACTGTCGTTCGATCGAGAGTCTATTTGTTTACGTCTCGTACCGATCTGATCAGTTGCACGTGACTGAACCAAGTATTCCGCATAAGATCGAGACTGAATGAAGGAGACATTGGTCGATTCACTCAGATGATGATTACTGGCCTGTTCCGTACCATGTCTTGTCTCAGACAACAGCAGTGGTTCCAACTTCACATTATCCACTCGTAATCCAAAAGCTGCTAATTTTGGATCGTGTTTTGTGATACCAGGTTGAGAGCGGGAAACTTCCGTGGGTGCAGAGACGGTACATGTTGTTTTACTTTTTTTGTATCGTTTTCGAAAACAGAAGAAGGCGACCAGTGCAATGATGATACACCAGGCCACAATACTGCCAATCATTGTCCCCACAAACCATGGTTGAGCCAGTAGTTCGACCGTTTTGTTTCCTTTCGGGACCAGATCTGTACTGGCGTTCACATATGTTGTGTATGTGGTCGGAACCAGTCGAATTGGTGAACTAGGCACCCCAACGCCGGAACAAGTCACCGCAGCTATTTGAACCAAATAAGCCTCGGGACGCGGTAGAAGGTCTACATCAATACTGAGAATTGAATGACTGACGTTAATGATTTGTGGTTCCTGAGTTAGCTCCCCGTAAATTTGAACAACGTAACCAGTCAGCAGCCCATTCCAACTGTTCACCAACGGTGCGTTCCATCGGATATGCGCACGAGTCTTGGCGACCCAGGCCACAGATACAGCACTGGGAGGAGCTGAAGGAGCCCGTTCAGAGGTTAGGACAAATTTGGGTGCACTCGAATGACCTTCCAACTTTCCGTAACTGTTATGCACAATATATGCACTTATTCTTATCTCATAGCATTGAAATGGTCGAAGGTTACGCAGAGTACCTTGATAAAAGTGAGCACCTATTTCATTTGAGTGAGTGGGTCGGGGCAAATTGCTAATATCTGTGGATATCATGATGGGATGATTGGCGTCCGTTGAGGACTCGGTGTATAAACGCTGTAGTCCTTCCAAACGATAGACCATTCCGGCTAGACCTTCCGAATCCCTATAGTGCAAACTGCAATAGGTTTGACGGGAGGAAAAAGTCCGATCGTGATGTATGGATTCACTATTCTGTTCCAGAATGGAACCAACACAGCGCAACAAACCGACTTCCTGGGCACGAACTGTAAATCCGTTGATGAAATTGAGCAAAGTGGCTGTCTCGGTCACAGTCCACTGGATATGTAACTGCGAGTCTGTCAGTACCTGAAATTGGATATGATCTATTTGTAGTTGTTTGATCCGTTCACGAAGATCAATTTGTGTCGGATTGGATGCATAGTTTTTTAAAAAAGGTAAACTTGCTGATGGATTGCTGATCACAGCAGTTGTTGGAGTATGAATTGGACCCAGTGGGTCACTAGACCAACCGATACGTCCATTCATCCACCGAGATCGTACAAGGAAATAGTAGATGGTATTCGGTATAAGGCCAGCTAAATGTACATTATTCATCGGCCAATTACGCTCCACAGTGACCCAACTGTTTGACGGCTCGGACAAGCTAAGATACTCTACTCGATAGGCAATAGTTTGGTGACTGGTGGAGGATACTCCTGTATGATAGGTTTGTAAAGGTTCCCAAATCAGTGTGACCGAAGTTGCAGTCACGTTGATGACGTTCAAATTTCGTGGGGATGGCAAAACAATATCTTGACACTGTTCATCTGTNCACGGTGAGACTGGCAATCCACTCGGAACGCACATGAATTGAGGTAGACTCTGCTCCCTGAATCTGATTCACCGAACCGTAGACAATACATTTATACAGACCGGAATCCTGAGATTCTAGGGACGATATCTGAAGATTACCGGTTCGCAGTACACGAAACCGATGAGAGTCGGACGCGTGGATTGATTCAATTGGTTGATCCGTGCTGCCAGATCGTTTCATCCATCGCACAAGCCAACTGGGTTGTGACTGAGCTTGTTTCCACGATCGTCTATTGCCAACATCACACGTGAACAGTACCGATTCACCAACAATGCGAGTTTGATTGCATGGGGGCAAACTGATAAACGGAATGGGTGAATTTATCAGGACGATGGGTTGATTTGTCACTGGAGCAGTTGGGGGTGTGGTTTCTCTCCCGGTGAAATCCGGTGCACTTGTCGAAAAAACATCTGTCAAAACACGCAGTTTAGCAGTAGAGTGAATAGTGTCCACGGAGGAATGAGCGGTGCATTGATATTTGCCTTCGTCTGTCGATTGCACATTTGTAATCTGTAGTCGTCCGTCGGAATAGACCGTGTATTTCTGATCACTCAATGAATCTGACGGGAAAACGGGTGTTTTATCTGGAAGTTCCCAATAGATTGACGGCTTTGGATGTCCTTGGGCTACACAATGAAATGACACTGTTTGACCAATCTGTACAGATAAATCAGTGGGTATTTCGACAAATGCTGGAGGGCTATCCACAGTCAATGTGGCACTGTGACTACCCGCGTTCGGAACAAAACAAACATAGCTTCCTGAGTCGGAC